TTCTTGAAGTAGAAGGTAAAAACCAGAAAAAGTTGCTAATTGGGAAATTTCTTAGTTGTGGCTTGTAAATATAATATTTGAAGGGTTGCAGATAATCATAAGCTCTCCCACTTTCAGTAAAAACATTGGAAAATTAGCACTGAAATTGGTAAGTAGAAGTTAACTGTGTCAATATATGAATTCTCATTATATTGAACTTGCAGTCCTGCAAGCTCACAAATGACAGCCACAGACCAAGTTCACTCAACTCCCAGAGCCTCCCTCATGTACGCGTATTTGCAGAGGTAATTATCTTAGTTTTTTCTATCAGTAACTGTAAGCAATTTTTCTTGCTACTTTGCCAAATTTACCTTCATTCCTTCAGAAATTCGCATCATAGGAAAATCTCATATTCTTAAAAATTGCTGAAATTAAAATTGAAGTCAATTAAATGGTTTAAACTGTGCTTCAGGGTTCTACCTCTTTGAATTTAGCCCATGCAAAAGCAGTATGATTAAATTCAGCCACAATGAATTGTGTCTTAAATCAGCTAAATATTTTTACCTAAACAGCTCCAATGATATTAAAATTGTTACATGTCAAGAAAAAAAACGTTTAATTTCAAACCACTAACGGTATTCAGAGGTATGCTATTATTCGGCTTTGAGGAAAAACACCCTAAATTGTAGATTTTCCATTAGAAAGGATAAAACATTTATTTTAGAAACTTTGAGCTAGAAAACAAAGCAATACACTTTGTCTCTCATGTTTGTTCCATTAATGTGAACAAAGATAACAATCACTCATACCATAGCAAATTAAGTTTTCTGATCTACAGAAAATATTCCTTAAATTTGCAAGACAACTCAGCAGTTCTGATTTTTAATCCTTAAAGGGATGGGGCTGAATCCTTAGAAAAGACAAGTTTGCTCCAGGTCACAGGTGACAGCAGAACACCCTCCTGTCCCCTCCCCTGGTTTAATTTGTACAGTCCATGTCAGCATCTGTCTATAAAGATTTCCAGGGAAGACAAATGTGAACGGATAATACATAGGCTCATTTTCCCTCAAAATCCTCTAGAAGACTATCCTGTATTTCCTGGTCCTGAATAAGACCAAAAGATACAAACATATTTTGCCTCTCTGTGACATGGTTCTTCCAGAAGTTGGGCACCCTGAGCAATCCCTAGCTTTCCCAAAAGCCCCAGACCAGGCAGCCTCTGCGGAATGCCATGGCTGCAGCCAAGTGCATGCTGCATTATCTTGAAATTTCAACATTTAAGGGGAAAAACAGTGAAAAGGGGAATTTTGATCACTGTAATTAAAAATGATCAAAATAAGCTCTCAATATTTCATTTTAATATAACTAACTTGAATCAGAAAACTGAAGGAGGCCTGACTGAGCTTGGAAATCAGTGATGGTAAAACAGGTGTGATAACGGTTTATAGCATACCAGTCAAATACACACACATGATATAACTGCCTGTTTTATTTAGTGGAATCAATTTTGTAGATTAGAAATATTTCCAATTCCCATTTTCTCCAATGCAAGCCTCCACCACTGACAGGCATAATGCAGTTTGTTCAACTGATTCCAAACAAAAACAAAAAACAAAAAAAAAAGAAGAAAAAGGTACAATCTCAAAAGTTAAGTTAGAAACTAAGTTCACACATTTTCTTTGGGACCAGGAATCTGTACATAGTACAAAATATACATTTATTGAACTTTCTGTAAACACACAGTTTGAATTGTGTAAAACTGTAAATAGTGGGTGAACTATGTGGAGAATAATTTATTATATAATGTTATACATTCTACTTAAGGAAAATAGTTATGCTCTTGTATATTACTCTGTTAAATTTATAAATTCCACAACGAAGCCGTGTAATCTGCAAACATGCTTTTCAAGCTTAAACCTCTCAGTTTGTAACACATTTATACAGGTCATCAATGAAAAAAGTCACACTTTCCACAAAATAGATATAAAGGTCATGGATTTTCTAAAAAGACAGGCACAGCATGTCACTACAAACGAGACTCTAATGATATGATGTGGAGTCAATTCTGTGAGAAGACAGGTGAACACTCTCTAATTCAGCATGTTCGTACATGGTCTTTAGTAACAAGACAGATGCTAGAAACCAGAATCTCTGCTTTGAAAGATTTATAAAGCAGCCGCCCAGGAAATCAAACCTCGCACTTTTCAAATATCCAGTATTCCCTGCCTAGGAAAATTGAGGCTTTCATCTTGTATTAACCCTTCGCTGCTAGTAATTTAGTTTTCCGAGTAGTGACCTACCCAGCACAATTTGCCAAGGACATTTGCATAATTCAGCACCTACTCCAAAAACTAGATTCCTGGCACCAAAGAGATCCAGTTAATAAATACAACTTAACTCTTGTACTCAAAGTCATTGCAAATCACGCCATCAGCAACAGACACAGGATAGGAAATCCCATCTTCCAGCACCAAACTGTTACACAGTATTAACCTGCAGAACACATGCTAACAGGTACTGCAACATCTTGTGTACTGGGGACTCTGTTGAATAATGCCCAGTTTTCCAAGAGTCCGGAAATCATGAAATGCAGTAGACATGTCAGTCTAGCATCAGACATCCAGCAAGAATAAAAAGTCCCCCTAAAAATATCAACAAAGATCCCTTCAGTAGGTACATCACTGCACATGGAAATAATGCTATGTAAATTCAGCACCTTTATTCCTAGATTTTTAGGGTCTCATTGGTTTTCTACCTTGGATAACTCAATTTGTATTTCATCCTTTTATTTATTCTTTACAGCTAAAAGCACTACATCAAAGACCAAACCTCTTAAACTGTGTCCTTCTGACCTTTTAAAAGAAAAAAATGCAGACTTAATAATTTCATAATTCTTTAAAATGTATCTCCAACCAACCTAACATTCTGCTTTAACACTACCACCTTCTTTACTTTAGCTTTGAAAAGCTTTTCCAAAACCTAAACCGAATAAAGATTACATTTGTTTTCATTCTGAAGCGGGCCAGTTAAGGCTCCAACAATACATGTGCAAACTATATACTGTGAGCGAGGCTCTATCAGTGTCAGTGGGATGCAAAGTTAAGTACGTGCCCAATTTTTCCCAATTAAGATATTTTCTGTGGAAAATATCTTGATTTTTTCAATGTTTGGACAAAAATACTATGCTTCAGCTTGAAAATGAAATTGGCTACTTGGTACTTCCATTGCTCATACTGGGTTGAATTCAGTAATGCACGTGAAATTAAGCTGTGGGCCTTAGTCTTACAGTCATACATACACTGCACTGACAGAAGTATAGAATGTTTTGTGACCAGCCAGTTTGTTTTCTCTTTTTCTTCTCAACGATACTTCTCAGAAGAAACAACAATGGCACCTCCTTCAACTCTAGGACCTTACTCACAGTGTATATGGAAAGTCCTGTCTACTTTAGCTGTAAAAACACCACACTCCTCCCCAGCTCTTCAGAGCTATCCAGTTAATGGAAGCAAAAATGAATTTCAGCTTTGGCTCTATGTCACAGTGAGCTGTGAAGTGCCAACATAGTGCTCTTAGAGGAAAACGTTACTGACACATTCTGACACAGCACTCACCCTTGCAAATGGCTGGTTACACAGCAGTAAGGGCCATTAGTTTTGATTCTTTTTTTTGGGGGGGGGGATAGGGGGAAAGTAGATAGTGATATTTTAAAAAGGATTTGGGCAGGAATCAGTACAAGTTAAGCACGAAAATCTGGCCAGGCATAAGCCAATATATACTCTAGGAATCAGACCTGTCATTCCACCTCTGCTGAAGTTCTGACACTTTCAGAATAGAACTATTAATTTTCTAAAAGGCATTTTTAATGTTAAGCCCACCTCACCAAATTTTGGGGTTACAATGATTAGGGGTTTTGTCGCTGCTGCTTTTAAAGCAAGCCTCCCCAAAATCCTTTCCTAAGACACGATATAACTCCTGTTCTCTTAGCTTGAAAACAAAGATTATAGAAGGGTGTCTACATGAGGGGAAGAGGAAAAAAAAAAATCTGTTTTAATGCTGCTCAGAGGCAAGTCAAATAAACAGATAAAGCAAGGAATATGCATACAGCCTAGGTCACTGTAGGTCAACAGCTCTGGCACAATCAGGAGATTGAAGCTCCAGACAGTTTTCCACATATTAAGTAAACAGCAGATTATTTGCACATTTTTCTGGAAATAAACCGTCAGTGGAAAATAATGTAAACTCAACTTTTAGCATATTGTATATTCCTTCAAAGGATTTAGTGGTCCATGAGAATAAAGACAAGCTGTAAGTTTTCCTACAGCTTCCCGAACTTCTGTGAACAAATGCCACTGCCCATGTGACTGCTACGTCATTTATGAAGTAGCATTACTAAGCAAAATAAGGCTCAGAGTACTTCAGAAGGTGCATGCCTGTGTCCACGGATACCTGCAGACTGCAAGCACTCCACAGAGATAGCTCAGAAAGAGCTCACCAACAGATCGGATTCTCTGATCAGTATTTCAGACAGGTCAGTCAAAAGTACGTTGTGCCTCAGACTGTTACTTTTAACTTTTGCTCCATTTTTACAGCTTACAGCAGCAATCACTTTCATTTTATGCACTGCAGCATCCTAGAAATTCATGTGTGGAGCCTCTTTTTACTATTTAAAGAGCATCCAGCCAAGCAGACTCTACACCCTGTATTGGTATTATATACTGGCTCAGTATATTATTGTATAATTTGTATATATACATTATACAGTATATACTGGCTCAGTATATTACATATTGGCTCAGGATATGATGATCTCACACTGTAGTGGTAGGAACAACGAGCTACACTAGTTACCCAGGAGATGTTATTTCCACACCTCATGAAGCTTGGCACAGAGTAACAGTTCTTTTTTCTACAGGAAAAAATACCAGGTACAGCTCTGTAGCTCTAACAAAGTTTTGTCATTTCTGAACCTATACAAGGTACATCAGGTTTATATTAAAATACATATTTGCCAAACGATGAAGAAAAGGGTAACATCTTACTAACAGTTAGTCCATTTCAGACACGGCCAAGGTTAAATAGACCAAGTAATTTGTGTATAAAAGCAATTCAAGAAGGGGCAGGTAGAGCTGAAGGTGAACATCTTGGAATGATGAAATCCTGATGTACACTGAACCAAGGTAAACTGTAAGAACCATATCATTAACCTTGTGGCAGCCATGCTGTCTATCCCCCAGAACAGAAGTACTTATGTCTAGAGAAAGCAAACAGAAAATAAGTTTGTCAGCATGGAACTCATACACAAGATGACATTAAAACCAGTTTCATGATTTCAATTTTACAAAAAAAATGCTTATCAATGCAAAAATATTTGTCTTGAGTATAGGGAGAAAAAAGGTCTGCAAAGGCTTTTGACACCCCCTATGCAGGTCAATCACTTATCTGCTTTTAGGGTGTGGATTCCCAAACTGTGGCAGAAGGGCCGGTGCAACCTTTCCTTTGCTCTCAGTCCTGTCTCCCCAGCTCCGCATCTTGCCCTCAGACCACAATCCAGTGCCTGGATTATCAACTTACCCAGCTGAAGAGTACAGATTTTTGCCTTTCTCCCAGCTGCATGGCCACATAAGCAGGAGTAGTGGCACAAAAACGCCAGAAGGGGAAAACTTTGAGCAATAGTTTAGTCTTGATTATAAGCTGGTAACGAAACCATATCCTTAGTTCATGAATTACTAAAAAATGAAATGCAATAGGAAGTCTATCCTATCCCACTGTATCAAATTAAGATGGGATTCTTATCAGAGAATCAACTGAAATGAAAACTGTTACCCAATTTTGTTAAATCACCATTTCTAGTATCCAATTCTCGAACTGAGCAAAATGGCTCTGATTCGAACCTACAGTTAAAATAGTACCAGCTTTGCAATGAAAAACTTAATGGACATTAAAGTCAGTTTATCATAAGTACACATTGAAATTATTTGCTGTAGCATCTGCATGAACTATTAAGGTAAGTGCTAGCGTTACTCATCTGCTACTTAATACTCATTAGGCACCTTGCTAGTATGACACAACCTAGGACTACCACAGTTCAGTGTAGTTTAACAACAAGCACATGAAATCCCTTTCTCCAATTTTGACTTCTGCTGGAAGATTAAAAGGAGTGATGACCATGCATCGAGGTCTTTGTGGTGCCAGCTGAAAGGCCCTGGCTTCATAGCTTGCACTGGACCTGCACATTTATGCCCCACCCCATCACACGTGAAAGGGACTCTACTGACACAAGCAATTTACAAAGCCTTGCAAATCTAGGATTCTACTTAATGTAATTACGTTTAGTTAATCCAACATTGGTTTTAAAACACATTTTAGAAGCTTCTGTCTTGAACATATTTCAATGCTGAATTAGTGAGAATTATTTAAAACAGTTGTCTATAAAGCAGTACAGGTATTCTCCCAGAATGATCAGTGAAACATTTAATCTGACTATAACAAAACACACAGAAACTGAAGCCAGTGAAGCTGTCATATGTAGAACAAAAACAAAGTTGCATGGCATACGAAGCAGAGTAGCTTTACAAATGTAATTTCCTTTTAAAAACAAGCAAATTGGGACCATCCTATTTGAACATGTATTTAAAAATACATCTTTTAACATCACACAATTTTCATTTTTGTCACACGGGAATCTTTTTCCAAGAGGGAAATAAATAGCACACAATACTTCAAAAACATCGCTGCCTTGCCCCTGAGGTGCTAATGTTTTCAGTATTTAAAAAAAGTTTCTGGTGCAAGAACAAGATGCACAAAGGTGCAAAAGTGCCTTTTCCTTTTCCGAGCAGTGAAACGTACAGCTTGCCTCTTTTCTAGGATACTTGATATACTTAATCCGTACATTTTTAATCAAAATCTGTATCTAAAATGGCAGTGTTTATGCATACATAGTAGATTCAGTGCTCTGTCCTCATCAAAACGCTGAACATAGGCGGGAGAGAGAAAGGCCTGAAACGGGCTTTCTTCTGCTACCCTCAAACCTAGTTACATCGCCTGTAGCAATAGCAGAATTATTTTCTTTCTAACCCTTAGGAGACCTCCAAGAAGAGGCTTCAAATACAACATTTGTCACTGAGACAGTTTAAGTGATTATTGTTTGAAGTATGGCTTTTCACACCACAGTTTTCCTTCAGATTTCAGTTTAAAACTCAAAGGTTCCACAGTCCAGTTCAAAGTTTTGCAGTTTCCAAAACTAAACTTTAGTCTCTACGTAAAAAAGACAGAACTTTATCTGCCTAGTCCTAAATTAAGTGTAGCGTTTTGCACTAATATGCCATTTATTATTAAATATGCTTGTCAATTAGGTGCCTGTGAAGCTATAAGTTAACATTATTATAGTTTTGCACTCTACAACAAAATTAGACATTTTAAGCATTTATTCATAGGTAGGTAAGGAACTGGTTCTTTAAGCAAAAAATTGCTATAAATTTATAAATACAAATAGTGCTCATGTTTTCTTCATTCATGCTTGAACAGATTACAAACTGAATACAATGAAGTTACGTTTAAGCACCCCACATAGACAAGAGGGATAAAAGAAAAGTTTGCTGGTATATACTATACTTAGTTCCAAGACACTATAAGTTACTTTTCCACTGTTCAGTGTTCCCTAACTCTGCATTAGTTTTAAGGCTATATATACAAATATGTATATTTCAAAGTTAGGGAAAGACAAATATAGCAAAATGCATTGTACTACATTTTCCTATCAAAAAGTAATTATACACCAAGTTCTGATTCTGTTTAACTGCAGTAAATGTTACAATCTACTTGTTTTACTGATTTTCCTTTTTGGGAATCTGCCTACTAAATGAGTAAACTACATATTAAATACAATATTCTCAACCAAAAAGACAATACAAGGTGCACAAAACAGCAGTTTTGCAAACACGACTGACTCAAAAACTTAGTTTTTGTATGCTTCATGGGAAAAAGCTAAGCTTAAATCAAATTAGTTTATTATCTTATAAAATTTTAAATCAGAATTTTAAACAACGAACAGTTAAATATTGTCAACATGCTACATCTCAAATCACAAGTACTGTTTAACCACTAGTCTCTCATTCTAAGTGGGTCAATTAAAAACACACACCATAAAATGTTAAAGATTGTCAGGCTTTGACAAATGTATTTTTATCAAACAGTAGGCAAATTCAAACCAAATGCACACCTTCAGGTGGGGAGAAAAAACCAAAACAAACCACCAAAACGCCTGAAAACCCCCACACTTTTAAAAATAGGGCAATGGATTAATCCCACATCATCCTTTAGCATATGGCTATGTCTTGGGCAATAATCAAAATCCTTCCCATTTAAAAAATGGGCTACCAATTAATAAAAATATTCTTCCACAAGTAAAATATCATCTAAAATGGCACTGACATTTTAAAAGGCAGGAAAAAAGGAATTACACATTTATGGATAAATTTTTTGTTTGTTAAATCAAGCTTTATTGATAAAATGGAATTCAAAGTTATTTTACCTGGAACAGCAGCAGACCCAGCCAATCAGGATTGTAAAAATGCTGCAGACTCCTACTGTGTGTAGAAAGCTGCCTGTTCGTGCTCAGTGATTAGTAGTTTCAGGTAAGGGTTAATGAAAAAAGAGGTGCAAAGAATCAAGGCATTCTAATCCCAAGGTTTGTATGCGTATGAACATGATACTATTAATAGGGCATGATTTAACTCCCACTGAAGTAAAAAATCAGAACTCCCTTTAACTCAGTGTGAGAGCAGGAATCACCCAAGAAACCGATTCACGTTTGCTAAAGAACGTTCACTACTCTTAGTTACATTTCCATTGCCAATCAAATTCACACACTGCAGTTTCTCGTAAGTTGCCCACAAGACAGCTTTCATTTAAAACAAAAAGTTGTCTTTATAGTTTTGTGCACCTCTTGAACACCTAGCTGGCTAGGCTGCTGCTCCTTGCAATCCAAAGCCACAACATGAATTAAAGGGATATATACTGTTGCATCACACAAGCCAAACATTTCTTCTAACCTTTATAGTGATTTAAAGCAGTTCATAATTAAATATGAGCATTTTATACAAGACAATTGCACTTTACAAAAAACAAAATCATACAACATAAATTGCTGGAGTCTGATTTACAACATTAATTACGGTTTGAAATCACGTTTACAGAAGTCTGTTTTACAAAAATGATCAGTTCCTGGGCTAGATGTCGCACTGCTGTAGTCACTCTCGCCAACACATCATATTCCCTTCTTTAATTAAGGTTGAGGATGGATGTTAAGAAGGGTCACTGAGGCTGGGCTGCACTTTCATTTGAAGGATGAAACGTGATCTCCACAGCTAGATGAGCAGTTTTACCACATATCATCAGTTGAGGCAGAATCCTTAAAGAAAAAAGAAGGAACCCTTTAAAGTCTGGAGTGCCCATATTTACAGAAATTTCTGCATAATCCAGACTGAAAAGGGTAAAGACTTAAATCACTTTAGGAGTCTCTTTTCTCCCCTTCAGAAATAGCATTTAAGTATCTAAAGCCCACATATGCTTAATTTATGAAGCATTAGTACCAACACATTTTAAAATCTTACCAAGTGGTTCAGGATAGCCTTATTAAGCCTCAAAATAATACCCCAGAACATCATTCGAAAACATCCCCAGAGTATTCAGAAGTAATAAAAAAATAGACACCCTAACTACACAGGAGTATTAAGAGCACGATGTGCCTCATGCCGTTTGTTATTATCAATACCATCTTCTGTGTTTTCAGCACTCCCTCCCTGCACAGGAAGATACAGTCATCAACTGACACCCTGTTGTAACTCAGATCAATTTTAACACTTATAATTTCAAGTTAGAAAAGTGCATTTAAGGCAACTGCAGGAAAACCTAATTCTGGATGCTAACAGAACTGCAAAGATATGTATGTAACATAAGAATATTTGAAGTGAAGACATGACATGCTCTAAATCGTGACTGGATGAACGCACTACGTGGCATAACAGACATGCAACCAATACCTGATTACCTCTAAAATTTGGTCCATTTGAGCTCACTGGGCAATTGTAGATTTTGTGTTAACTACCACACCCCTGAAAAAATGTTTAACAGATTCTAGTGCAACTAGAAGCAAACTGCTTCTGTACAACAATCCTGGTTGTTTTAGCATTACCTGCTACCACCCCTAAGTAATTAAAGGCCAAAATAGGGTTTAACAACAGCATATGCTGGTGCTTCCACAGTTACACTTCCCTATCATTAGTAAGATTGAAGGTGGTAGAAATATTACTCCTCTTTAAAAGCACTGCCTGATTTCTCTGAGAGAAAAAAATTCTCTAGCAATGCCACATATGACAATTCCTTAGCACTAAAGTTATGCACCCTTCATTCAAACTTGCACACACAATTCACTACAAATCAGAAAGAACAGCTGGCACAGAGGTACAGTAAAAAACCCCAAATCACTAAAATTACCCTTTGCAAAACTATGACCTCCAGCTTTTTCTTCTGGACCAGAATCAGCAAAGGAGAGCAATTATATGAAAGACCAAAATGGTTATGTTTGCTTCAAGTGTAAGATGAAGAATAAAAGCAGTAGCAAGTAAAAACTCAGGAGCTGCATGCCAACTATTCAGTATGCAAATTTCTGTATTCAAGTTGCCAATATAATCACAAAACTAGTAGTTTGTGTACTGTACATTTACAGAACAGTAACACACTACAGAATGTATTTTGAAGGTAAAGCATCTTTCAGCCACTATTTAGGATTACTTATGCTAAAGAGATAATGAGAACTGACAAATAAACCAGCACCCTGTTGTAAAGCCAGCACACAATTCTTTATGTCTGGATGCATTTCACTTACTTCACATCTAAGCATGTAATAATTTTTGCTGGTAGGTAAGAGAACTATTTAATTGTTTTATGAAAAACAGCACTTTTTGTGACAGAACATTGTTTTCAGTGATCTAACAGCAACTGGGATCACTGTTCATATTCTAGTTTGTCGATATATGTCACTTCGGCCACTGACAGGAAAGAACCTAAACTGTATGCTTGTTGCAAGTTGTTCTATGCTTAAGAATAAAAGCACTTATGCAGTCCATTTGGAAAATTAGTATATCCTTAAAGCTGATAGTTACAAATCCGCTTAACCTACAAGTACAGCCATTTTATTACTGGTATTTGGGGGAAAATGTCTCCCTTAAGAAGGAATAAAACCCCATACATGACTGCACCATTTGACAGGAAAGCATTTGGAAACCCAAACAGAAGGCAGATAATGAAATTCCATAGAACAAATGAATCAACCATACTGGGGGTTTGAGACTATAATCAGCAGAAAAAAACTAAAAAATATAGCCCAAAAAGTACAACACTGCTACTGCTTCTTTGGGGGAATGAGGCTTTTAACAATAACTAGCAATATGTTTATTTACAAAACAGCTAAAATAATTGTGTGTGTGGTGAAGGTAATGTAAGAGAAAGGATACTTACAGTATCATCATTCCTGTAGGGGTTCAGTCTATTATAAACGGCTTCAATCACACTCCGTCTAGAGCAAAAAACAAACCCACAAGATTTTAAGGTAGTGCCATTGTTTTACATCAAATTCCCTAAGTACAATTTTTGCTTAAAATGTAAACTTTAAAATGTTTTAAATTCACATAACCAAGTTCACTGCAAGTTAGCACTTAGTGTCATTAAACACTGGAGACAGTTATGGCATCCTTTAAAAGCTTCAGGTTCAAGAAAAATAAGGCTGAATACCACTCAGAGCTCAGCAGGAGAAGAGTGCAATCTGACAATGCAGGTTGAGGCTGCAGTGCTGCCCGATGCTACACTTCCTGACTTTTGAGAAAGGGCATCACAAAACTTGATGGACATTGAATACCCTCATCATTTGTGTGTCTGATGAACGCTGCAGTAGTACTTAATACATTATGGCACTTTAATAAATAGTAGTTTATTTTCTGGACGCACAAAAATTGCATTTTGAACTACATTTTTGTTCATATTACATTCCAAAATGTACTTTCCATGAAGCAGTATGTCCACTAATCTGCCACATTTCTCAAAAAACGTAAAATGCAAACAGCAGTTCTATGTATTGTATCTTCAGAAGGAAGGGGGAGCCTTTGCCTTACCCAGGTAATAAGGAAACAACCTTGGTGGGGGAGCAGGAAATAAAAAGGGGAGTAGGAAGGAAAGAGGGGAGTAAAACACAGGAATTACAGATTGGAATGTAAAAGCAACTGTCTTCCAAATCCCTTTCTGCAGAACCAAGTATGAGGCAGTATCAGACTACAACTGCGATACAAAACCAACTTCGAAGAACAACCTTTTAACTGCTCATGAATGCATGCAGTGCAATCACAAAGGAGTGCAGCAGAAGAAAAAAAGCAGATGATAGGCTTTATAATAATCTCATAATACTGAAATGTCAGGAAGTACCATGCAGCAATAGAAACATCACAGTGCATCTAGTGAATGATTATATGGCATGGAAGAAGAGACTGAATTTAAAGCAATAAAACCAAGCAATTACACACACAGTATATTGCACATAAAACTTGAAAGTTTCCCTTATTTTTCAAGCAATATGTATCTTTGATTAAAAATAAAAGGTTTCTTGAAAAGCATTTTTTCTTCCAAATTGACAGTAGTGCTTTGAGCTACACTAACATCCAATTAAATCTGTATGTCTATCAATCCCTGTTGAAACTAGCATTGCTAAGACACAAAATCCAATGGAAGCCAGTCACTTCAGCATCACCTCACAACCATGATACTACTGCTAGCCAGAGGAGACTGAGAAAAAAAAAATCAATTTGTATGCCATACTTCATGAGTAAATGACTCACCAATAGCTCAAGACTATAGCAACACACCCTAAATAGATGCTATTATACACAAAATCGACATCTCTTCCTGGTCAGTCAATTCATACATGAACAATTTTATTTTGTAGAGTCATTTTACAGTTATTTATTCAATTACATACCTAGAGACTTCATGGTTTTTGTGTAACAATTCAAAAATCATATTCTGAAGGATTAAAAATAGTCTGTAACATATGTGCCCAATCCATTTTAACACAGCACAGGTTCACAAAAATCTTTTGAACCAAAAAGCACCTGGCCTGGGTGTGCAAATGAGCTAAGCACATTGTTTCCTTAAAGACTGAACATCTATTTGAGAAGCCACAAAGCATCAATGCTGAACTCCTTAAGGACAAAGCCAGCCCATATAAGGGTGTAAATTTAACATCCAACTTTTTCATAGACTTCTATCTAGTTTTCAGATTTGTCACAGCAGAGATACAAAAGCAAACTTTAAGCAAGTACAACACCGCTTTCGTTACAGACAAGAAAAGAAAGCTGCCAAGCAAAACATTATATGCATGTCACTTCTTGTCAAAGTGTGGAACTACATACCGAAGGAGCTATTATATGTCAGTGCATTATATCTGCATCCTCAAATGTAACCTCCCACCCAGAAAACCCGTTAATTACAGAAAACAGACACACTCAGGCCACCCTTAAAAAAACCCTCGGTCCTTCCCAAAGCGACAGTCTGACATTTACTTTTAGTAGTGATTCACAGTTAACTCTGTTCTTATGCTTGTCCTGTCCATTCAGAAAAACTGAGTAACACAAATTGAAGAACAGATTTTGTCCTCTACCCTTTTTGCCTCCCCCCACTTTTAAGAGTGGCCTTATAGTTAAGTTTTGATTTAAATGAAAAACCACATTTACACCGATGTGAACTCACTTGCTCGCCAATTCACCCCCTGGCGGGAGGTTTGGGATGCTCTCAGTGGCTAATGTACGCATCACGTGGACTAAGTCTGGGACTCCTTCACCCTGCTTCTTTATGATCTCTGGGAATCAGAAGTACTTTTTTTGTAAGTGCAGTCCAAATTTAACTTAAAAAGATTGAAACACTCAGTTTTATAAAAAGGCAGCTTCAGTAAACATACATACATATATTAAAAATATATGACAGACTATATTCAACATGGTAATTGTTAACTTTGGTTTGGTAAGAAAAAGAACCTATAACAGATTTGACATACATTCCTAACTGTTAACATGCACACTGGTTTTAGAAGTACATGGCTACCTAATAAAAGCAGGGAAAAAAATCTTTCATGGCTTTTCTGCTATACATTAGATACAACAGAAGATGCAGTATCTTCCCAGCAAAATGTGCTTTATCGCTGCAACAGAAGGTAAAAGACTATTGCCATCTTAACAAAGCATAGCATTTTCAAAAACCAAAAAGTTAAGACAAAAATAACTCCCATGGCCGTATGTGTGTTAGCCAATACTTGTACCTCACTGCATTACAGCAACAAGCTAATTTAAGAACTATTACATACAAATTAAAAGCTGGGACATCATATCTAAGAGACAATTCTGTCCTCCACTCACTTCAGGGATATGTGAACATTGGGCAGTTACTAAAACCTGATCCACTCCAACTTCTGGGTGAAGAAAATCTGTATTGTACCCACAGTCACATTTGCTAAGAAATTCAGTCCTTATTTTAGGCTTTTTTTTTGGTAAGCACACAATTTTATTTGAACTCAAGAGACCATACCACTTCTGAGGACTCACTCTTTAAACAGGGATTTTATGAAATTTAAAGAACACTGGTTTCTCTGCAAACATGAGCTCTTAGAAACTGCAAGACAGATGAATTTTTAAGATTTGGCACTGTTATCTTCAAGGGAATACTGCAGAACACACCATAATGTGCATATACATGCACACATACATACACATTTGTAGATGCACACTATTCTTCATGTAACAAAGTATTTATGCAGCTTGAAGAGTAGCTGGAATTCATCAGCACCACTTTTGAAAAACATTCTAGCATTTGGGTTTTTTCCCTAAATGATAATTCCAGAAAAGCATACAGAGTTTCTATTTTAATAACTTGATTTGTGAGATGAGGCACATTAAAAGCTTTAAAAACCAACATGTACCCAGTCCTTTTTTGTTAAAAAGAAAAAACAAAAAACAAAAGAAAACAAAGAAAGAAAAAAAAACCAAACTACAAAACAACCCACAACAATTGTGACTTACTTTCTGTACATGTAAGTTTTTCAGGGCTGTCTGTGTTTATAAAAAGCATCAGCTCTGTTTTGCAGTCAGGCTGTGTAAATTATTTGCCAGGTACAGTGGAAGCACTGTCTAGGCCTCAACCAGTGTCAAACTCTGCAAACAAAAAGCTTTAAGATATTTACTTCCAAACCTAGTTTTTAATGCAAATGACATCACACACAATAGACACCTCAAAAAATTGCCATTTCCTCAACATCTATAGCCAAAATTTGTTTTACCATCTAGTATTCAGCAAACAATCTAACACTCTTAAATCTCAATAAAAAGCAAAGATCTCAGATTTGGTTTGCCAAGTTCCTTTATTGTGCAATTTTGAACATCTAATATATTCTACATTGTACTAGTGCTAAAGTTCTGCTGTACAAAAATAAGGAATTTATAGTTCACCTATACTACACAGTTTCGCAACCTGTAACTGCAGTACATTTAACACACAGTCTCCACTAAATGAATACATTTATATTTTGATAAAACTACAGATACAGACTGAATGAACACTGAAGACACAACAAATGGAGCCGGTCTGCTAGCTGTGTTGAATTTATTAGAATTATCTTCTTTTAATACACCTTGTAACCCTCCCCCCAACCTTTAATTTACTTTTATATCTTCTACACATTTTCATGGCATCAAGTACTGGAGAAATGTACTTGCAACCCTAAAATAAAAGATTCAAAACATATCTGCTTTTTGATATTCTATATGGGAATCCTACACAAAGTTTAAGGAAAAGCCAGAGCTTTGATTCTGTGAAAAATATGAGAAGGAATATATAATGGCTTACTTAAAATTATTTCTCTCTCTACAGATATAAATACTGCAAGGATTATCTATTATGGAATGTTTTTATGTAAAAAAATAGAAAAAAAAAGCTTAGACAACTTTCTTTTTAGAGTCAACACATCAATAACACATATTAGTGCAAGTAATAGCAACACATTCTGGAATGACTGATTACTTCTACCATGAAATTCACACAATACTTTAGGAGTAACACTGATTTATTGCAAGTAATGGTACAAAGATGCTTCTCCACACTTGCTGCTTCTTCCATTATTATTTATTGCAGCTATGAATCTGGACCACAAACACATCAGAATTAGTAAAAGGAGAATCTTAGGTGTGATGGTACGTAGAAAACTTTCTGTATTTCTAAGCCTGAATCACCTTTCCTTACTCAAGATGACCACCAGTACTAATCCCATTCAGGCTTAAAATTTGCACTGCTTCTTAAAAGTATTAAGTTTTATTCTAGGTTGAGGGAATAGAAGTACAGCCAGAAAAAAAAAAAAAAAGCACATTAGTAAGCATCAAATCTCATCACTTGTTGGACTACATTGAGTAGTGAAATGCATAAAAATACATGATATGCATTTTCACCAAGTTTCTGTTTTAACTTTAAACTGAAGTTACAGATTAGTGAGATTTTTATAAAAGTACTTTATATTTTCTAGTTCCTTCAGCTGTAGATTACACTTTTAAAGTTAAGCACTGCCATTCTTAAAGTATCCTAGGATAACAGCAAGATTATTCATTGTAGTGTTGAAAGCTTCAGATGCTGTAGCAGCCCTACCTCACTAGCCATACTACACTACACCAGGAAACAATTAACTACTAAGAATTACTAAGTTCAATGTACCAAGGTTAATCAATTCCTGGTCTTGAAGTTCTACCTTATTTCAGCCTCTCAACTTCCCTCATAAGCAAAACCTAAAAGGCCAAATTCTCCACTCAGCTGATATAAATCACTGAAGGACTGAATAGTGTTTAATACATATTCATTAATTTAAATAATATCTTTGTGCAAGAATAGGTAAGAGGTTGAGGATAACTCTAAAAACCCTTTTGGGGAAGTACAGCATATTTCCTCAAACTCTTCAGACATCCCTATAAATTAGTATTAAAGTGCTTTATAACTACATACAGAATCCTTCTGCCTCTACACAGATATCAAACTTTGCTCATTCTTGAAATTTGGTTTTGTATAAATGCTAAGTACCGGCAGCCAAATTCATTGTACAGTTCCAGTGTTTAGGTTCTTCATTTACAAAATGAAGCGTGCGTACAAAAATGTCAGCTTTCCTCATCATATATTCCTGGGGTTCAATGAGGCCAGCTGAAGATGCAGCCTTGAATGTGTTTTCATATTGTAGGTCATGGGTTTATCTGAATTCAGGCAAAATATCTAAGATACAAAGGTAATACTTGCCCAAATGAGGAGAGTTAGCACGCTGTAAATTAATGTGTGACTTTACAGCACACCTGCTCTTCACTAATTCTGTGGGTGGGCATACATAGTAAGCTCTTCAAATGCCTGGTACAAAACTGCTCACTGCTTTGAAATGGAGAAAGCCATCTGACACTGAACTCAAGCAGTGTTACCATGCGCTTGGATATTCCTGCTACACTGTCAGAAAGATTCACACTATTGCTTACTGTGCACCAACTCTCCTATTAGGGAAGCGTTAGCTTAAAACACAAAAATGTCTTTCTGGACATTTGTTCAGAGGCAGAACAGATTTAGTTTGCCAAGACATGGCAAATGAGGCCTTTGAAAAAAAGGTGATACTTTCTGAAGGAACACCTACACAGGTAGAAAGTGCTTTAAAATTGCACACTGATTTATCTGAACCCAGAACTCCCATGCAGGCAAGTTCTCTGTGAAATTTCTGAAGCTGCACTGTCATCTTCATGCAAGTTAAGGAGGGGAAAAAAAGTGCACAATATATTCCTCTAACTTACTAATCACCAATAACATAGTTGTGAAGAACTCTCTGTATTGTGCCCTGTGTGTTGTTAAGGACTTGTGGAGTAAATACACATAACTAGACTTGTAACATATGGGTCTACAGGAGTCCACATCAAAAATAGACTTAACCTATGTAAATAATGCATAGAGCTTGTCTTATGTTTCAGAAACAAACTCCAAGCTGTGGTTGGTTTTAGATATCAAAAGGCACTATAAATACAGATATAATGAGAAATCTTTTAAATCAAATTGATTTCAAATATCATTTTCAGTTAGGTCACCCAAAATTTAAGACTTGCAGTTTCAGATTAAAGCTTAAGAACGCCTGCAATACAAATCTGAAGCAAAATTCTGCAGTTATTGGCAGCATAAGAAGAGCTCCCAGCTTTTGTTCCATCATGAATGCTTAAAGATTAGCTTTGACAAATTTCTGACGTACTTTCAAATAAATGAATATGTTAGCAGGAGCCTTAAAGATGACAGCAATCAAGATGTAACCCTACCATAACTGGATAATATTATGACTAACTGATTTGTTCATAACTACCCAGAAAAATAGCACTGAAATTACCATCTTCACACTTTGCAAGATATTCTGATTATTTAATTTAACTCATCTAAAAGGAACCAGGATTTACTGGTCAGAAGTTAGTGCTGTCAATTGCATTATTTCTCTGCTGTTCTGAGTAACTTTCAGGACCACAGGCTGCTGCACTTTCATAGCAGATTTTTTCAGGACATGCAGCAGGACTGAGTGCCTTTTTCAGGGATGCACACTAGATGGCCAATGGCACTTGAAGGCCTATTAAAAAGCCTGAACGTGTTAAAAGCCTAGTTGTTGGAAGGGGAAAGGGGCCAGGGGGTCTGTTTAGAAACAAAGTTACTTATTTTTTTTTTAATGATCCACCTTCTACTCTGCTTTCCAGGTACTTGTCCAACTCTGCCTCTCTTTTCACCGCCTCTGGCGATACCTTTGGTGCATTCGGAAAACAGATCAATATCACACTCATGTTGTCTCGACTTCCCTGGTGGAAAAGAAAAAATTATTTGAGAACGTATACACACCAGGCTAAATACATATCAAAGCATTTTACACACAAAAATTCATAAGTCATAAGGTATTAGGATACAATTTGTACTACTATGGATTAATATTATCATTCTCCTTAATTTCCTCCTACCGCCTCAAAAAATTCCAGAAGTCTGCCCACTTCTTCAGCACAATTTAAGTCACTTTGTGCTTCGCTCTTTTATGGTCTGAATACTACATGAGGCCAGTGACACACAGCCCCATTGTCTTTGAAAAACAGACATTACTAAGGAGTGCTGTGTAATTACAAAGTTGTGTTCCATCTTATTGTAAGTACTATCCAATCATTTTGGGAAAATAGCTGAATATCAGATGGGTAAACAAAAACATTATCACTTAAAAGCTCTAAATACAGAAGTGCTGAATTCAGACAGTGCTTCCACTTAAAACCACAGGTATTAGCTTGTTTGGGGGTTCTTCCCCTCTTTTTTCATCCCTTCTCATTTAAAACAAAAAAGTTACAAGGGAGAGAATCAGTTAAAAGACTAGCTGGAAGGGGCCCAAGCCTTTACAAAACCATTCTTTGAAACGAAAACATTTAAAACTCCAAGTAAACAGAACCCTAAGAGTTGAATATGTTAAAATACAAGCACATTTTGCTTATGAAAAGTAACAGTTTGTTTTCAATATCCCTGTGCTCTCGTCTACACGCATGCATCCATATGCTTAACTTTTAACACCAATTAAATCTGCTGAAGTAAGCAAGAACAAGCCAGTGTTCAAGTGTATATGAGCGCATGGAGAGGTACTGACAACTGGCTACTGCAAAGCTTACAGCATCCACAAGCCACTGCTCCTTCCCAGGTTATTTGTTTTGAGGATTACCAGATGAAAATTGTAAACAAAAATATATGTATTATCAACCTGCCAAAGTGCTGGAAAACAATAACGTTTTTCCAAAAGGGAAGCAATAACCCTCTTAGCCATGTGGCAAGAACGGAGATGCTGTCTTGTCTCTCTAGTATAAAAAATGTTGGCTTTTTTCATAGAGCACAGACTGGCTTGGGTTGGAAGGGACCTTAAAGATCAGGTAGTTCCAACGCCCTGCCATGGGCAGGGATACCTTCCACTAGATCAGATTGCTCCAAGCCCAGTCCAACCTGGCCTCAAACACTGCCAGGAATGTGGCAGCCACAGCTACCCTGGGCAACCTGTGCTGAGTGCCTCACCACCCTTACAGGGAAAAATTTCTTCCTAATATCTAAATCTATTCTCTTTCAGTTTAAAGCTATTATCCTTTTTCCTTTACTACTTGCTCTTATAGAAAGCTTTCCTTTGGAAAATCAGGTGTCAAGGTATGAAACTGTAACTGCACCATCCTGCAACTTACTAATACAAAATATAAGTTAGACAAAATTACACAGATGTGTTAAATAAAACCTTTCCAACATCTTCTACCTGAGCTAGTTTCAGAGTTGTACCAAATGAAGCTGAATAAAAAAATACAGTCATTAAACCAGAATAAAAACTAACTTAGGAAGTCAGATCTTCATATAGTCAAGAAAAAATTTTAAACTGCAAAATATGAAGTCAAGGTTCATTCATTCTGCATTTATATTGCTGTAGTTATGCCAGTAATGTTACTACTATATGCCCAAGAAAGGAAGGGAAGATTAGGAAGGGAAAGAATATTCTCTAGCCTGCTTAAGTCTTAAGAATTAAGCTTAAAGTATGCTGTGAAACAGAAAAGGGCACTTATTGTCCTTGGCTTGCCCATAAATTCTTATCAGCTTTTAGCTTCCCAGCAATCACAACATAACTGCATGTGAGTTTAAACTCATTATGCAAAACCACCCAGAAAGCTGTACTGTTTCTGTTCTTCTCTACCACCATTTTTGTGGGAATCATGGTAATTACTGTCAAAGCCATGTCAACATAAACCATAAAGAGTGGACTCAACACTTGTTCATAAACTTCTAATAGTGAAAACACAGTAAAATTCTTCTCTCAAGTCTGGCTACCTTGTACAAGCAGGTGTCAACTATCTCATTGCAAACTTTCTCAAGGTCATCAGTGACTTCAAGTCTGGATCTTACAAAGTCACACAGCTCTTCATTTCCCATAACATCCCAGATACCGTCACAAGCAAGTATGATGAACTGATCATCTTCTTCTGATCTCTCAATTTCATAAACTTCAGGCTCAGGTGAGACTAGCTGTTCTGTAGGACCTTTCCCATGGACACACTTGTAATCAAAGTCCCCAAGTGCTCTTGAAACTGCAAGAGAGCCGTTCACACGCTGAATCATTACAGAGCCACCTGCATTCTGTATACGCTCTTTCTCCAGTGGATTACTTGGTTTGTGATCCTGCGTGAAGAAGTGAACCTTCCTGTTTCTACAAAGTAAGCCTCTCGAGTCTCCACAGTTGATGAAGTATGTATGTTGGGGAGAAATCATGACACCCACAGCTGTTGACCCACTTCTGTCTGCACCATGTTTCTTCTCAGAGATGACTCTCATGTGTTCATCAATTTGCAGAAAACCTGTTCTGATGCCACTCTTTACACTTTCCACAGATGGAGGCCCATCTGGCCCTTTAAAATCCTGGTTGCTTGTGATGTGATCTAATAAATGCTCACAGCAGTATTTGGCAACCTGTGATCCAGCGTGCCCATCATATACAGCAAAAAATGACCATCCATCAAGTCCATTTGGCAAACCAATCACAGCTGTATGTGCATCCTCCATTTCAACTCGCCAGCCTTGCATACTACTTAGACCGTAACGAAGCCCATTCCCTTGCCCCTGGGCATTATGTTTCTCCATCTTTGGCTTGTCTAAAAATGCTCCCATGATGGCCTTCCTTCAGTTCTAAAAAGAAGAAAAAAATAAAATCTTGTTTAAACATTCTACTGGAAACTATTAAATAATAGCCCAAATAATGCTAAGATGCCAAAAATACACATATAGAAGGTGACCTGTCTGTGTCTCAAGTAAAATTTGCATTGTTTTCATCCAGTTTAAACAAGGACACTACTACTAGCCGAACTGCGCTTTTGATAGTTTAAAAGTATTTTCAGGTGTTTTACTTGAAAAACTCACATTCCACTGTCATTCATGGTTCTGACAAACGCCTCTTGTCTAAGTATATATGAAATCAATTTGAAAGAGGACTTCTTAACTGGAACACATCTGAACAGCTGTGATTACCGAACCAATGAAAAGTTCAATGAGTCCAGGACAGTGGCACTCCCTAGATCCCTACCTGCTGCCATAACGTCCTGGCTGACACTCCACTTCTTCAATGGAGATGTAGAAACAAAAGCAAATTGATTAGGTTTGGGGGTTTCTTGGTTGGTGGTTTGTTTTCTTTTTTTCTTTAGCACATAAAATAATCTAAATCATCAAAATGATGCCAGAGTCTACATAAAGAAAAAGGCAACACTGGATAACTAGAAGGACTCAGAACACAGCAGCTGTGCCTTTAGGCATCAGCAAGCCATTAGTTTGGCTCAGCCATCTTGTGAAAGCTCATCCTTAGATTTTCAGTTAAATTACACAGCAAGCTTCTCAGATGTCTGTGCTGCAGATTTACTTAAACCCTTAATGTATTCATACTTCACTGCCCCTGACAAGTCCATGGAAATCTGTCTGGAAATAAAATCACATGTGTTGTAAATTCATACTTCTTTATTCAAGTCAGACCAAAATGTTGCACACCCCATCCTCCTCCACCTCCCTTCACTGGGATATGATGCAGCAAATATTCATGCTTAAGAGAATAAGAATTATTATTTGCGGGCAGTGTAAACTGACTGGTTTATCTTCATGGCTTTCACACCCTAATCATCCAACCCACCCTTCTAATCCACATCAGTTTATTTGTGCATTCATTATTAAAAAATCATACTAACTAGGTCACACATTTTACATACTTGCAAATTCGGCCCTGGGAAGCATCAAAGAGTGTGCAAATCACTGTTATACAATACAAGGGAATAGAACAAGATTGTGAGCTTCTCTATTTGAAGACAGTGGACAAAAATGTGAGAAGAGTCTCTGAAAGAGATTTTACCTGAGGCCCCAAAACTAAGCAGCTGCTCTAGCACAAAAATTAATACTAGGAGTTTTAGAAGGTTTTAACTTCAATGTGAGACACATTTATCAGTTTTCTAAGTGATAACACTGCTTTTTGAGAACATGCTTTTACTGCAATACAGCTCCAGCTATGACACTGTATATCCAAAAAAGCATTTACATCTTCCAGCCACCATCAACCTTTCAAAAAAAATCTGTGTTAGAATAAACAGTCAAGAAATGTTTATATTTGATCTCACCACAACAATGATTCAAGTGTGAGGCATAGGGACTGGATATACACTCTTTGGCTCACATGCTTTGTTAGCAAAAACAAAGCCACACATACTTCAGCTGTACAGAGATATGTCAGCAGCAGTACACCTCTGCTACCTCTCACCCCCAACCCCTGCTCTTAAGTTCTGTCTTCTCAAGCAAACACATAACACTGATGCCCACACAAACTGTAACTAGCCAACAAAATATAGTGTTCACTGCTTGTGTATATCCTAAGCACATGCACAAGGTTCACATTACTGCAGTTGCTAGGAAAAAAATATGACTTAAGACTTTTTTATCTTCACATGCAACTCTAGTGAAGTCAGAGTGATCAAAATAATTACAGAATGCTGCCATAAATCAAATGGGAAATTATTCTGCAGAATAATAGACTTCTTATTCATTCCACGATAGCAGCAGAATTTAAACTAACACCTAACACTTTCTTATTGTCAAAGAGACCATAAAATAGAATGCAGATAGTCAATTTGTTCTCCTTAATTTAGAGCTCAAAAAGCAGGACCTGCCCTGGCCATCACCACATTTTTGTGAAGCATTTTACATTATGCTGTGTTTTAAAACAAAATAGAACAGCATTAATAATGAGATAGTTAAACTGGCCACAAGCACTGACAAATTTGAACTAAAAAAGGCAGTTTTCTTTCTAATTTATCGCATCACTAAATACGTAACATTCAGAGTTGTGCTTTTGAAGCTATTTGTCCCTCAGTAGTTTGTCATGTAAACCACAATTAAAAACACAGTCGGGTCATAAGCAGTTGCAGCAACTCATACAGAACTGCTAGCACAGTTCAAAAGTTAAGAAATCCACTCTCCATCTAAAATCAAGTTGCTTTATCCCTCCCCAGAAGGTAAACTGAAAGTGGCTGCTATTCTAAATTAAGCCTTGTTGCTGAGATGTTGACACCCTTCCAGGGTGCAAGTGACCCACCAGAGATGCACATACAACCAGACAGAAGGATAACCACAATGTTGTCATGTAACTTCTACTTAGGAAATTCACAGCTCATACCATAAAGTATTCAACTTCTGAAAAAAGCAATAACAGACTGCAGCTGCCTTCTCTGCAAACACTCTAGCTGACCACACTTCCACCAGAACACAGGTCTAAACCTATAGGAGAGTAAGGCCAGGTTTTCAAAACCCTCATACATACCTGAAGAGAAAGTATAGCTTACTCTGGGACATGATGAACATGTCAAGCCTTTAGTTTTACCAGAACTTCAATTCTTGTTCAGAAAAATGTGAGTTTAATATGACCAATCTGCTAATTCTTATTAATTGGAAGGCTACCTACTACTTCTCCCCCCACACCTTTATGTGTGGCTAAAGCCTGAGGAATTTAAAGAGTCTTGGTTAAAACAACCAACCAAAAAAGCACCACAACAAACAACCCAAACGCACCCCACCCCCACCGCCCCCCCCCAAAAAAAACCAAAAAACAACCCACACCCCAAAACCAAAACATGCCACCTTAAGACATTAGAAAGTGCTGCCTCCTTCCTGATAAAGATACCTTTTAGGCTGTTTCGGAGTACATAGCTACAGAAATATCATTCACCCATCAGTGTCTACCTAAATCGCTGGTGTGTTTCTTTCAGGAGGTGATTTGTGCACTGTACTGATTTAGTTGAAACACCACCTCTAGTTAAGCATATAACTGTATGCAAATCAGACTAACAGCAGTGCCAGCACCTAAGTTAAAGCATGACTTTATGTATTAACACTAAAGAGAGAAGTCAGACCCAGAACAGTCTGCCTGCACAATGTGCAGTAAAGCAACAGATTCCCCTCTCCTGTATTTCTTTAGTCATCTTCCTAAACAGGAGTCCTCATCTTATGACCCTGTTTCTCAAATAATTTTACTACCCCTCCCATTGCACTGCTTAACCCAGCCACACATTTGTGCAGTCATGTTAGAAAATTGCAGTCTCATAGAGGGAGACAGAACCAGTCCTCCACTCTGAAATGCTCAGCTTTCACGCTGTTCGAAAAACGCACATACATACTAAAGAAGACATTCTTCCTACACTTATTAAAGCCAAAGTAAGAGAAAATGCACTTAAACACAAAGTTTAGTGGCAAATGTACACCACACACTCCTAAAAGAGAAGAGCTTTCAGCAGTCAGTTCCTGTATTTTGGCTCTGAAGAAGAGAGGCTTCTGAACAAAACTTAAAAGTGAAAACAGACCCCTACATGTAAAACCTACAAGTAAACATATATGCAGAGGACCCATCTATTATGCATCTATGAGTGCATCTAAACCATGACCTCTGACATGGTGATTTTGTGGAGGTCAAACTGAAGACAGTCTCTACAGCAAGCGCACAAAAAAATTCAAGCAGCAATTTGCAGACAGAAAAGTAATACTGTACAGGGCCTAGAAAAATCAACACAAGTAACAAGATCTTGGATGAAACACAAGAGTGCCAAAATTCAAAGGACTGCAGCATTAGAAACAAAACTGAAATAATGAATGGACCATGCCAAAGAGTCAGCAGCTAAACTCCTTGAAAATAGATGCCACTGGAGAACAGAGTGGCAAAGAAAAGGAGGGTAATTAGTATACCGGACCATGGACAACCATGGACAACCACAGATACATCACTGGAATGCATGAAACCTCTTTGCCCCTTTCATTTGTTCCTCAAATCGTGCTATCCAGACAGCACAAGTATAAGGCCCCTGATACACACAAAAATAATTTTGGCTGCTTTGCTATTTGCTTATTCATTTACTTGAATGTTCAAATGAAGATAAATCTTAAATTGTTCACAAATGACAGTTATTGTAACTCCATATACCACTGTAAAAAGACAATTTATTTTTCCAAGGAATTCAGACAAGGAGCTGATCACACTGTAAAAGAAAACCAAGCACCCCATTTGAAACTTGTACTTCAACATTTAATAATCCTTTTAAAACGATGTTTGAGTTATACTCCTTCCACTAGCATAAGCTGTTTATATAAACCACGCTTAAGTCATGGGTGCTTGTTCAAACTAAGCTGAGAAATGTCCCCACACTCCTATGTCCTAGAACAATTCGCCAACTGCCATTATGCCCTGTGTGTTGTAATGAGCAACATAAAGATCACAACTTTTACTTGAACTACAGGATACAGATCAAGTCACCAATATACATAGTGCTATTGAAGGGGGGGGCAGGGAAGATAAAAAAAGAGCATTTGATCCCTTTAACTTCCATCTGATTGTGATACTTCCCCCCCCTTAAGCAAACTGGATGCACTAACCAGTCAGCACCTAACTGTGCAAATTACGTGGAACCACGTTCAGAAGTTAGTGCCTGTCGGATGAAAAACTGAGTACTTAGTGGATGCCCCTCATCAATTAATGTTAACAAACAACATGTCAGAGATCATCCAGGGATCACAAGAATGACCAAAATAAAACAGAACACACAGATGAGGAGACATAATTGCACCACAGTCATGGGCTGAATGAAGTCATGAAAAAGCTTCTTGCCAATGAA